CAAAACTTTGAAATAGTGGGCACCTCCAATGGCTAAGTGCAGTAAAGCTGAAGTTTCCTCTGGTGTTTGCCATCTCACGCTCACACACAACTAGCCAAAGTTGGAATTACCCTTTATTTTATAATAATCAAACCACTCTTTAGTGGCATCTTCAAATAATACAGGATAAGGTTAATGGGTCCAAGAGCTTTTGGAATCTGATATATTTATTTATATATTGGTTTTTACTTTACACTGTCTAGAGATTCACGTAAAACCATTCAATTTAATTATATCGTTGCCTTCTTTTGATTGTTCTATAGATACAAGGAAGGCGAAGGGCAAATATAAATAGGATTTTAGTCTAACAAATGACCTTAGATTTCGGATTCTGAAACTGAACTGTGTTAACTGAATAAAGACATCTACAGGAACTGAGGAATATATGCCGGAATCCAATGTCCCATTGTGTATTTCCCATAATGTAAAACATGTTTTCATTTGATGGGATAGGTTGAAAGACTAGAAGTCTGAAAAACAAAAGAGAGTCTACCGAATTTTCGAATCAACAACTATGGAAATCGTGATGAGCAGCCTTGTCTACTGTCCACATTTATCTATGGCAAAAGATAATCCGATGAATATCTATTTAATTTATTCCTATGCTTCAACAAGGAATGATAACTCCCCTTGGCGAACTCAGTAGTAGCAACTATTGTGGAGCTGGTAACCAAGTAGTAGGAGTGTTGGAATGTAGGTTAGGCACGCGGTAATCCCTAACTCTCAGGAATTAGCAGTGGAACGTCGTGTTAATCATTTATATAGATTATGTGTTGTTGAATTCTTTTTGTAAAGAGATGACACGAAGAAGAGAGCAGTAAAGAGGTATGGCCAAAGAATTTCAGTTTTAAATAAAACAGAATTGCAATTATTTTTAAATTATGAATTTGAATTTCTCTTAACTTTTAAGTGTAATTATTTAGATTTTATCCCTTTAAAACTATCAAAAGGAGAATGTATATGTATCGATTGAAGAAATGAATAGATAATGTTTTCTTCTTCTTTCACAGTTATAACATAATCGAAGTTCACGTAAACTGACCAGACACTAATATATATATTATTAATTCGAACTCCCACTTTACAAAACTATAAGCATAATAATTAGTATAACATGATAATCAAACACGAGGAGAAAATGTAAAAAACTAGATTCAAGTTATTCCAATACAAAACAGTCCATGAACAAGAACAAGAGACGGTATTTTTATTTAATTTGCTAAAACTTAGACAACCCAACAACTATTAGCTGCTGGATTAAGCTTATTATATTTTTTCCATACATAGATATTAAGGTGGAATTTATAGCTCAGAATCATCAAAAGGTCCCCAAACCAGTGGTTTTGCTGGCTTTAACTTCAACTTCAACTTCAACTTCAAATAAATAGAGAGCAAACTAAGACCTCTGGTCCTCCACTCCACATATGTCAGCCAATTGAGAGAGACAGCTTCAGTGGTATGGGAACCATCAAAGTATACATATTCACTCGGGTTAAAGCACAGTTCATAAGGCTGGGTATATTTCCACACCCACTTCCACATAAGGTCCTATACCACAGCATGCCACGTCCCCATACTTGAACCCTTCATTTGTAACATCAAAAACCCTAGTCACCGTTAAATGACTGAAGCCGAGTAGAACTAGAATGCATATGCAATGGAAGAAGCTAGAAAGTGCTGGTTAGATCGAGGAATCAACGTATCACATTATCTTTATGTATTCATTTAATAACCCTCACTATATAACATATATGATTATATCCTTGAGTTTTTAGAAGTCTTATCATACAATATATTAGGTAAAGATCATATCAAGAGAAGATTCCAATTACAGATGATATGATAGATCTATTAATAAGATTTTTTCTGATACAGAGAACTGAAACGTCTATTTAATGAAATTTTTTCTAATTCGCTTGATAAACTTATAGAGGACAAAATGATTAATTTGAATAAGAATTGATCTGACTCTGATTGGATGAACTTCCCATGACGCGATAGCTTTATTGTGATAAGAATTATAATTTTTTGATGGAAAATGGATATGGGATTATAGTTAACTAACCATATGTTGTGGGATCTTTGATCCTGTTCCCAACTGCGGTGAAGAAATCAAAGGCTGAGAATACAGATCCTGGCCAAGATTTTCACTAGTTAAGGTTTTAGTTTCTTGACTAAAGCATTGTTGTGAGAATCGCCATGTTAATGGTAACCCGACGCATGCTTCATCACTCACATTTGACCTCTGTTTCGGCAGTGGCTGACAACCGAGTGGTCCAACATTTTGAAACATAAATTTCCTTCCTCCTTCGTTATATATTCCTGCAAAAAAAAAAAAAAAAATTTAATATCAGCTAAAATTTGATAATTAACCAACAAATACTACCCCTGTAAAATATATAATCTTACCTGGACATCCTTGAAGATCGTTTCAATCACTGTGTCTACGTATTCTTGTTGTTCTGGATAGTATCATTAGAGTGGTCGAATAGGAACGATTGAAGTAATCGTTGCCACCAATGAAATCAAATAAACCGCATTTCCAATTCTCCTCTTGGCTTCATCTATGCCATGTTGTTCGTCCAGTTTACTACTAACTCCTTGAACAGTTGGACCTGTTCCCAAAATCATCTGAAAGGAAAAGGCTCATTACCAAGTCATCAACTTAAACCATGAGTTTGATTGCAACGAAAACATATATATACAGAATGATGAGAAAGTTTTTCGGCGAAGACAATATTTGGCGTACCGTATTTGTGACATTAAGGGTACAGTTGCTCCAGCGAAGCAAAATTTGCGCCATGAGTGAAATCTGCTCCAGGTTTCAGAATTGGTGGCATGAATGGTAAGTTTCACCTTCGATGCTGCGTCAAATGAAACATGGAGAGTTCATTAAGCCTATATCACTTGCTTGGAACATATTTACTAACAAAATCTTATTACATATTTATATTTACTTCTATTAAATTGTTTTTAAAATATTTATATGATGTAATTTATTAGACTCTTGCACATTTATATTCATGACATGTTAGTGTTTTTCAACAAACATTCAATTATATATGCACCAATTAAACTACAATATTCTTACCATAAAATCAGGAGCCAAACGGCCATCAGAATATCTCCCAGTTGGCTGAAGAGGGAAATAGGTCCTGCCATAGGGGAGGTGAAAAGCAGGAATATAACGATTTGGTGAAATGTTTGATTATTTCCAGCATCAAAAAGTGAATCCCCCAAGATGAAGAAGTAATTCTCAGCACCATTGCAGCTAAATGGAACACAAAGGTGACAGTAACACACAAACTTATCATCACATAAGCAAATTATAACTTGACTTGCCATAGTTTTCAATAGATTTCTTATAAGCTACTTTGTATTGTGCTTTTTCAGGCTCCTCTCACTTTTTATTTATACTAAAAGGGTTGGGAAAAATCAGGCACCAATGCAGATGCATGATAATCGTGGTTAAATGTCCCCCGTTCGATGCATGGTCCCAGCTTAATTAAATCCTATGTATAACCTATAAAGATCACATGCATGCACAATTAGGTTACGTTGAAGCTACATGCAGTACGAGTACGAGTGCATGCGATTGTGAATAAAACGAAGTAGAATGCATAAGTGAAGTTATTAATATGTTTTATGCTTATTGTTTGCTATTAAGTTTTGAATTATTTTCTTTCCCATTTAATGCACTTGGTCACTAGTTGGATGCAATCTTTTTTCGGTGACTAAGGTTCTCCAGTTGTCTATTTCAGTTTGTGCACATGTCGATTAATACTCTGAAACCCTAAAGTTAATAGTTAGGTAAACCTTCAGTGGCTAATCTTTTAGCAATCGAGGTGAATTGAACTCGAAACATCTTAAGTAATACACCCAGAGTCTTAGTTACCCCTCGATCACCCAGTAGTTGTTAGTCTCTCATTAATCTTTATTGGATAAAATCCTTTATCAACTTTTATCCGAAACAAATAAAGGATTCCTGATTAGTAGATATAGAGAAAACTATTATTGATAACCACAAATAAATGAAGATGCATAATTTTTATGAATCATTAAACCTCAGAAAAACTGAATTCAAGAGAGGATCTTATATTTTATTCAGACATAGTTAAACAAAAACAAAAACAAAAAAAAAAAAAAAAAAAAGAGTTATTAACTCTATAATTAAAAAAATAAATGGTGTGTTTGTTGTAATTTTTGAATAGAATTTCTATAATAGAATACTATTTAATGAATAGGATGATATGAGAAGGCGTTTTGGAAATATTTTTCTGAAAATATTTAGATTATGTTTTAACCCTTTATTTGTTAATTTAACTAAATACCACCCACAATAAAAGTTTTATAATTAACAAAACACCCCGACCTACCCAACTATTGCCTGCAGCCGGCCACCACCGCCGATGGTGGTCGAGTTGTCGAGATGCGTACAACCGCTAATCTGGCCGACCTGTGCCGATATGACTTTCTGGCCAAAGATCTAGCCATTGACGGTCAGATCAACACCTTAGATTTGGTCATTTTGCCAAGATCCATGGTGGATCTAGCCGAAAACGACAGAATGATGCACGACTGGCCAGATCCAGTCGATCATGCATCGTTACGTGCCAGCGTCAGGTGGTGCATGACAACGGCGACAATTGCTAGTTGGTGATAGTGGCTTGGGTGGGTGGGGGCGTTTTTGTTAATTTTAAATTTTTTATTGAGAAATGTAATTGTTAAATGTTTTGAGCTGAATAAAATTGAACTAGATTTTGGGTTAAATAGAAAAATAATATTTTATTTTCTTAGGATAGGATAGGGAAAATAGTGTGTCAACCGCACCCATCCACATAAATTAAGTTTGATAACAATAGAGTGTACCAAATTTTCAAATCAACAAAGTATAAAAACTTATTACGTAACAATATTCATGATACGGATTAATGTGAGCGTTTCAAAACCATTTATAAACTCTATAATGATAAAATGTACAACCAGAAGAACTTACCACAGCAACCTTGCTCCACATGCTCAGCCAATTTAGTTGCCATTTCAATGTCTCCAAGTTGTGTACAAGCTGAGATAGCTCCCACCATTGCTACCTCACTGATTCTCTCATTTTTTTCTCTCATCACCTTATACAATTCAATACTTTTCTCAGCATACCCATTTTGTGCATAACAAGCCACCATTGCTGCCCAGCATGAAGCATCAGGTTCCAAAATCTCATCAAACACTCTTTTAGCCTCACTCACATCACCACACTTCCCATACCCTGCAATCATAGCAACCCATGTCACAGAATTCTTCTCTATCATCCTATCATAAAACTCCTTTGCCGCTCTCATATCACCACATTTTGCATACCCTGCAACCATTGCAGTCCAAGAAATCACATTGCGCTGGCTCATGCTATCAAACAGTCTTTGCGCATCATCCATCATAGCCATCTTAGTGTATCCACAAATCATAGCAGTCCATGCAATAAGATCTTTATCCTCATCATCCATCATATCAAATAATCTTCTCGCGTCCAATACAAACCCACATTTTGCATACATGTCAAGCAATGCAGTTATTACAAACTTGTTCCGGAAGTAACCTAATTGCACTACTTTAGCCTGCACTTGTTTGCCTTCAAGAAATGCCGGCATACGAGCACATGCATTGAGCACGGAAGAGAAAGTGAACCCAGATGGCAATACACCCAACCGCTGCATTTTAGCATACAACCAAATGGAATGGCTAAATTGAGTATGAACAACATGGCTACGTATAAGGGAAGTCCAGAGGAATTGATTCCTACAATTGGGTATTTTGTCGAACACTTGGCGTGCATAGCTCAAGTTATCACCGGATAGCTTAAGGAGATGGAAGAGAAATTGGGTTAAATAATTTTGGTGGTGGGTTTTAGGTAGGGTTTTAAGTAAGAGGGCATGTGTTTGTTTTAGTTGGTCAAGGGTTTTGCTTATGTGTATGTAGTGAGTTATGCTATGTTCGGTCTTACAATATTTGGTATGTGGGGTTAAGTTCTTTGTTGTCATGAATAATTTTGGTCATTTTGTATGTGGTCACGTTCAGATTTTGAGTTGGGGATTTTGCAGAATGGTAAAAAGGGTGGCTAGTCTTCGTGGGAAATTTACGTTGTTGGAGGGTTATAGATTATAACAAGTAGCTTTTACTTGTCCTGCAGCCAATATTAATGTGAGAGCTGAATGCTGATTTGCCTAAGCTTACAGCCATATGGGTGTTTGGGTGGTTGTTTTTTTATGGATAAAGAAATATTAAGGTACACAAACTTTAAGTTAAAGAACAAAAAGAAAAATTAACACCAACTCATTGTACATCAATGTTCTGAAAACCAGACTAGACAAGCCGATCGGATCAGTTCGACTGTCGACCGACATCTTTTTCGATCCAAATTTCCAATTTTACTATTCACCCAAATCCCTAATCTTACCGTCGACGGACGAGGGGCTACCAAATGTTGGGGTTAGAGGGGTTTTGTAGAAGGGAGGCCGATGGTTCAAGGGGTGGTGTCGGATCAAATTTTGGAGGCCAAAAATAAACCGAAATTTGGTAAAAAAAATCAACTCAATACGCGAGTCACAATCGGTGAATAGGGGGCTACCAAGTTCCGAGGTTAGAAGAGTTTTGTAGAGTGGAGGACGGCGGTCCAAGTGATGGTGTCTAATTGAATTTTGGTAGCCGAAAAAGTCAAAACCAAAACATATCACAGGGGTATATTTGCTATATTTCAAACCTGTAGGGACTGAAAATCTTTCAGGGGTGTTTTTGCAAAATTTCAAACTTTTTGGACCACCGGGTTCCTCGATGATCTAACCGATCAGACCGTTCAAACCGTGAACCAGGCCTTTAACCAGGTCAAGGCCCGGTCCGGTTTTCAAAACTTTGTTCTACATATAAGGGGAGTAAGCCATGATAGTGACCACCATCAAAATGCCTCGTACAACCTTAGAATTTGAGGCCAAATAGTAAGACTCTGGAACCTTATTTCCCATACAAAAATTTACTGAACACTCTCTCAAGATGGTCACTAATTTGCAAGACAGAATAATCTAATAACATTATTGAGTTTACATGGACTGTTGTCCAGTACTAATGCTTCAAGGCTTATGCTCAACCAAGTCAATGAACTTGTATACATCTCCCCGCCTTTGATTCTGAACGGGTATGTGCTCTCTATAATCAAAAACATTATGAACACAATCAGGAACTTGATACAAGTTTAGCTTTTAAACTTGAGAATTAGGACACTACCTCTGGAGTTGAATAGCTGAATAGTCAATCTCAGCAACTACTACTGTCTCTTCATGACCGGACGTTGCAATAATTTCACCGTTCTGTTAAAGTAAAAATAGAGCCATTATCAGTTCACCAAGACCTTTTCTTAATGCTGCTTTTATTCTCAGAATGTAAACAAAGTAACCAATGCCAAAATTTTCAATACCGGTCCAACAAGAGTGGAATGACACCATATCATGTAGGAACCATTGGATTCTCGTGAAGGCGAGCAAGTAGCTACAAACAACTACAACCATATCACTCATATCAGACATTCTTTTAGGCTATAGCTGAATTNAGTTTCCTTTAGGCTTGATTAATTCCTTGGTCATCTCTTATGTAAGTTGTTTTCCTTTAGCTTCAAGTTAACTCATTTTTCGGATTTTGTTTTGCATGGTGTGTATGAATCCATTTGTGGTGCATTTGAGCATAAATGACTTTGTGATTGACTGGAGTTTGATATAAGGAGTTGTTTTAAGTTGTTTAATGATTGTGAGTGTGTATGGAGTGTGTTAGCCGAATGGTCATAAGGAGTTGGAAGAAAACCTAGCCTAGGTTGAGTCAAAAGTGGTTGTTTTGGGGTAGTATATGAATTGAGGTTGAAGAAATTCATATCAATAATATACGTTAAAATTTGTGTTTCTAGTGTCTAAAGGTGGTCTTTAATTTAACTAATGTTTAAACTTTATTGGTGGTGATATTGACGTTTTAAATTTAATTGTAGAATTGTTCTCTAGAAATCTAGTTAAGTAACACAGTTTTAATTGAAAAGAAATGGACTTTGACAGACCATTGTTTAGAAATTTAAAATTTAATGTAAGGATTTTATACTGCATTTGTTCATTGGTTGAACCGTAATTTCAAAATAACACAAATGGTTGTAGGTATTATATAAGATTTGATTATCAACCATTTGAATTACAATAGTTCGTTTGTGTCACTATTATTAGTTAAGAAACAATTATTATTACTGAAATGGTTGAATAACTGTTTTACAAACTAATCAAACCAATCTATGTTGTCTACTTTTTAAAATTGGTCGTTGTCCAATGAAACAACGAAGTATTTTTTTTGTGGCTCAAGTAAGTGTTGGAGTTGTCGACTACTTCAGCATTAATGGGTAACGGAGACGCACTCGGGGGTCCCGCGTAGGCGGTTTTGGGCTTTTCCATGTATAACCGCTGTAGGATTCCTTTTAAGTTATTAATTCCTTTTTTGGGTTGGGCTTAGGAATAGGAATTCTTGTAAAACTAGGTTTAATCTCTTAAACCTAGTATATAAACATACTTTTCTCTTGTTATGGGTGTGAGAACAATTCATTCATTGTAAACGAGAGAGGTGAGGCATATTGCAATAATATTGACTCAGCTGGACGTAGCCTACATTGGGTGAACCANCCGATGGCGTAAAACCCCTTTTACGAATACCCTATTGATAATTAAACATTATAAAATAAGAATTAAATATCCCCAACTAACAAAGGGTGTAGTTGATTTTTGCAAGAGATTGACTGAATTTAATTGGTAGGTTTTAAAAAATTATATTCAAAACCAAACAAACAAAACTTAGTCCCAAATGAATGTCAAAATGAACACCAAATTTACTGTTACTAAAGGCTCAATCTACTCAACAAAGACTCCTGCCTAATTTCTTTCATCATAATTTACAACTCAAAATCAAGCTACATTACCATGGATAGATATTGAAACCAACCACGGCCAGCGGCCGCAGCCTCCACCGCACATTTGTCATAAAGAGTTAATTTGGTCACCCTCAAATCTGCCTAGATTTAAGACTAGGGTTTGACACCATTAATGAATCAGGCAAGTTATTGGAGTTAACTGTCACAATGAAGTCACTGTTGTAGGAGAAAGCAAAGCATGCTTGAAAATGAAATTAATTTGAAGACAAATTAATCTTTTGCTTTCTATAATTTGCAACATAAATGTACATAAAAAAAATATGACCATATTTAAAGCATTCAAACTTCAAATTTTTGGTGTCGGCCACACCTAACTTATAAATAAATTCACCATAATTTAGCCATTAAATTTGGCTTTGTTCATGGGACCATTTAAAGATGTTTAGTTTATTTATTTCTTGGACTGATGGGTTGCTTTCATTTTGTTAAATAAAGCCCATCTAGTTTCTACATAATATTTAATTTTTTTTGTTTGCTAACAAGACTTATTAAAATTGTCAATTCTCTTATATATGTTTTTTTTTTTTTAAATAATATCCAAGCACAATTGTCAGCCGAACTCACCTATTTGTCAGGGACACGGAACACCCTAAAACCCAATGGATCAAAATAACTACACAAATGCAGTAAGTGTCTCTATTGCGATTCAAATACAAAACCCTTGAATATAACTAACCCAGTGATTAAAGAGTTTGTCATTTGGTCACAAGGGGAACGATGAGATTCATTATGCTCTTTAAAAAGTTAAAAAAAAATAATAATAATAATAACCTAGCTGAATAATAGCATTCTAAATCAATTTAAGTAAAAATAAAAATAAAAAATAAAAAAATTGATTATAAAAGTGAATTGTTAATTAATTGACCAAAGTAGCTAGCCCTACGAAGTTCAACTTAAAAATGGGTGGACCATGAAAATGAAATAATTCTAACCTAGCTAGGGTTGGCTAGCAACTTCATTAATACTTTTAAGGACAAGGTAGCTACTACTTAAAGGCTAAAGCCACCCATGGTGGGTCTTGATCTTGACCTTGACTCGTCTAGCCACCACCCTTAAGCAATTTCACTTTCAATAAGCAATTTCACTTTCAATCAACAATATGAATGTTTTCACATTAGGGTTTGTTTTTTTCCCCCCGAAAAAGAGAAAAAAAAAAAGTTAAATTGATGAATATATCACATTATCTATATGTTATTTACCCAACAATATCATATTATACGTACATCTGCTTTTTTTCTTGTCTATAAAAATAATATCACATACGTTAATCTTGTCTAAGAGTTTCCATTTAATTTAATGAGCAAACGTTTATGAACAATCTTAATGCCTTTAGATTAGGGTTTTAGTCTTTCTTGAAAAAGAAAAAAGCTAGATATGATGAATATATCACATCATTTGCATATCATCTATTCAACCATGTCATATTATATATAAATATATGTTTTTTATTTCTTCTGCAAATAATATCGCATGCATCAGTTTTGCCTAAGAATTCCCATTTAATTTCTCGAGCAAACGTTCATGAACTTAAAACTTATGATCCCCAGAGATCCACCATGACCAGAGTAGCCGCAATAGATATGTGGAAGATAAGCAACATTAAATATTATTCAACATTAAATCACTTTGATACAAGATAAAAAAGGACATGTAATTTCCAAGCATGTTAATTAATTACACTTTAATTAAACTTTAATTAATTAACAAAACAAGGCTCCTTTCCCATTCATGGAAGAATAGAATGTGGGTTTGCTTTTGTTTATTCAAAAGATAATTTTAATTATATATAAAGTAAATGTAGAAACTTGAAAGTGTAGCTAGAGTTTGATTAGATGCCTACTCAAACTAGTTTAAAAGAACAATATTTAAATTAAATTAAAATTTTGATTAGTTAATTAATTAACACACCCAACTCCAAGTGGAAAGCTTATGTTTAATTAACTATTAATATTTTTGTTAATCAAATCAATCATCATCCTTTTATGGCAACTACCTCGAGTGATATAAACAAATTCAATTTCTAACACCCTCCTCTCACGGGAGGTGCTGGATCAGGATCCAAACCCAAACAAACGTGGTTCGGGTAGAATTTATCTAAAAGTTAATTCAAGGAAGGAGAGGGTCCAATCATATATATACATCATAACAGATCACCAACTTAAAGACGTGAGACAAATTCAACTTCTACGGTAAAGAAATATAAAATTAATTAATTATTGCACACATTTAGGTCCAAAATACCTTTCGACATCAAAAATACCTTTCGAGGAATTGCCATCACATCACAAAGAGGATTTTGAGAATGAAAACAAGAGAGACGTCTTTTTTTTCTTTCTGATAATAAAAAGAAGAGAAAGCCACGCACAATTCTTTGTTCTTTGCCTTCTTCATTGTATTATTCTTATAATGACACAAAATATCACCCAAAAATTTAAACATTTTGATACTTATAATGACACAAATTAAATCCCAAATATTTGAGTTTATACTTTGTTTCATGTTTATTTTTTCTATCATCAAACACTTAAAGCTCGTTTGAGTTTTCCTTCACTCATACCCAGTTTGGATTTTTGTTTACGGTATCAATAAATTCTAAACGATAATATTTTATAGTTTTCAACGTGAAAAAATTTGACTGAATTTTTGTCTGATGATATATATGTTATCATGATGATAAATGTTTAAAAAAAAAAAAATTACAAATTTTAAGAGAAAAACATTTAATTGAATTTTTCTCATATAGTATTTCTCGATGTTTATTACAATATTATGGAAGAGTCAGATAAATTACATATTTATACTCTGGAGGTTCATTTTTTTAACCCATCCTTAGGTAGCTCAAGTGGTAGGACGAGCGTTGGGATGTGTGATTAAGACACACGGTTTTAGGTTCAAATCCACTAGCTTCCAAGATTTAAGCAGGTGGTCATAGCAATTGAATGTTGTGCTAGTTATTTATAAGAATTAATGATTAGTCGAGATGCACACAAGCTCGCTCAGACACCATTTTAAAAAAAAAATGGTGCGCTTTTGTTTATTATGATAGTAAATATTAAATAAACAAAAATTTCACGATTTTCAACATAAAAAAGTTTAACTGAAGTTTTCTCTTGCGATGTTTCTTAACGCTGGTTACAAATATACACCCAGAACCCTAAAACATGATACACAACTTTGCCAGAAAGATTAAAAACTGAAATGTTGTTTTATTTTTGGCAAAACAAAGAAGACAAAGTGAAAGCTAAGATTAAGATGTTGGAATATGTTATATGATCATCTTTACAAGTAATCAAACTAGAAGCTTTGATCAAATATTATTCTTGTTCTTTCTGTCCCCATCTCTTTCTCTTTTTTTATATCTATATGATATGAGATTTTAATAAAGAAAAGAATTTAAAGGATGCACTGTTCAAGTTTCAACAGCTTCACAATGTAATCGCCTTGGGATCATCAAAATTCTCCCTCGATCCATCAACTTTCTCTCTTTAATTTTTACTCATATTTATTCTCATTCTCATGTAAAAAACCAAACCCACAACACAACAACACCTTC